GTCCTCACCCAGGTCGTCGAGGAGACGGAGCAACGGCTCAGCAAGATGTCCTTCCCGGGCCTGAGGCGCCAGGTGACCGCGTCCCAGCTGGGCGTCTCCAGGGTCCTGGACCCCGAGACCCTGCAGGGCCTGGCCCAGGGCACCAAGAGCCCCCAGGAGGTGATGAACATGGACTCGGTCAAGCGCTACCTGGAGGGCACCAGCTGCATCGCGGGGGTGCTGGTGCCCGCCAGGGACCAGCCCGGGAGGCGGGAGAAGATGAGCGTCTACCAGGCCATGTGGAAGGGCCACCTGCGGCCGGGCACGGCCCTGGTGCTGCTGGAGGCCCAGGCGGCCACCGGCTTCCTCATCGACCCCACAGAGAACCGGAAGCTGACCGTGGAGGAGGCCTTCGGGGCAGGGATGTTCGGCAAGGAAACCTACCAGAAGCTGCTGTCGGCCGAGCGGGCGGTCACCGGCTACACCGACCCCTACACCGGGGAGCAGATCTCCCTCTTCCAGGCCATGAAGAAAGACCTGATCGTCCGGGACCACGGCATCCGCCTGCTGGAGGCCCAGATCGCCACGGGCGGCATCATCGACCCCGTGCACAGCCACCGCGTGCCCGTGGAGGTGGCCTACAAGAACGGCTACTTCGACGAGGAGATGAACCGCGTCCTGGCCGACCCCAGCGACGACACCAAGGGCTTCTTCGACCCCAACACGCACGAGAACCTCACGTACCTGCAGCTGCTGGAGCGCTGCGTGGAGGACCCCGAGACCGGCCTGCGCCTGCTGCCGCTCACCGATCAGGCGGCCAAGGGCGGCGAGCTGGTCTACACCGACTCGGAGGCCCGGGACGTGTTCAAGAAAGCCACCATCTCAGCCCCGTTCGGCAGCTTCCAGGGCAGGACGGTGACCATCTGGGAGATCATCAACTCCGAGTACTTCACGGCAGAGCAGCGGCGGGACCTGCTCCGCCAGTTCCGCACGGGCAAGGTCACCGTGGAGAAGATCATCAAGATCATCATCACCGTGGTCGAGGAGCACGAGCAGAAGGGACAGCTGTGCTTCGAGGGCCTGCGCGCCCTGGTCCCCGCCGCCGAGCTGCTGGAGAGCAGGGTCATCAACCGCGACCTCTTCCGCCAGCTGCAGCAGGG